ATTTATATTCCGGTGAAAGGCACCAATGAATGTTTGTTTAAGCTTCTAAAAAAGTTTTGCATGAAATGGATTTTGTTACTCCAATAGTTAAAATATTAAAAATTAGCTGTCGTGAAGAATTTTATAATTTTGATCATCAAAAAAATAAATAAACATTTTAATTATTTGATATAATTGCATATTTGCTAAAGTGCAATTCTTTAAAATTTGTCTAAATTCCAAAGAAATCCGACGAGAATTCATTAAATTAGAAAAGATACAAATGAGAGATACAGTATGGCTTTTATTCATATTTTATCGGTCACTTGAAATGTTGAGAGGGAGAGAAAGACAAAGGAAGGAAGAGACATTTTTGTCCCTGAGATGAACGAACAGCATCCAAAGATCAATTATTTCGGCGTGATAACCCATCATGTTGTTTGTTCTTTAAGGGAATGTGTCATCTGTAAAAACCTTATCTTCACTGTTTTATTTGCAAAAGAATTTAAGTTTATTTTCACATGGAATGCTTAAATTTTAGATCGAAATAAAGTTGCTCGTTGACTTTTACAATGACGAGCAATTCATTGAACAGAATTTACAATTTATTAAAGATTGGGAAATTAAACTTTAATAAGGATGGCATTTAGTTTAAAATTTATTCCCTCAAATCTAGATTTATGATATAAATTGTTGAGTTTGTAATTTCACTAATATATAGCGAAATTCAATCATCTTTAATAACACTTTAAATAACGATTGATATCAGATCAAATTTTTCGATGGTCTTCGCTTGTTTTTGTTATGTGGAGAATTTTTATATTAAAGCTGTCAAATAATAAAGAGCAAATCCTAATGGTCAAAATACTTATCTCTAATACTAAAAATGTTCAACTTAAAAATAAATATCTTAATTTAACTGTTTCTAAATTACTCCAGATATTGCAGGCATGTCTATAACTTAATTTTTGATCCGCGATCCTTAATAGTCACAGATTTTTCAAAAAAACTATTTCTTGAAAAGTTGGCATTCAATCCTGAATCAGTAAATTAAATTAATTCTAGAACTCACTTGGCGCGTATTGCTCTACCAAAAGTTTTTGCTTTTCCTGTTGATGCGATAGCTGTTATTTTATAATAAAAAAAATTTCAAAAAGTGTTTAAAAACTTGAAGGTCCAGCAAAATTTTTTGTTGTAAAGGCAAAATTTAATTTTTATTTCAGAAAATAATCAGTAGGACATTTTTATTGTCGATCTATTAATTTAACATTTATTTTCAGTAACAGACCGTTTCAAATATCCAATTCTGGTACTTTGAAGCTTAGAACTCTCGTCATTTTGTAAGATTTCGAATAGTGAAAGAACAAAGTGATTATCTATGGATGTCTTTTGCAGTGACAAACTTTCTTCATATATCTTTATCCATTACATATTCAGTATCAAATTAAGATTGTTTGTGGTTCTGATATAACAAAGATAGAAAGTTACCAAAGAGCAGTTTTATTCGTTGAATGTTCTACAGAGAATGCAAAAATAAATACAACTATGATTCGCAAAGAAAAGTTCTGTTAAATGAACGTCTAGAATATCTATAATTTTAATTATTCAGGCTTAAACCATCTGTTGTTTCCAGCTTAAGCTGACTCGTGATATACAAATGTGAATTGGGACTTCAAAATTATTGTTCAGAAAGTGAAGATATGTTAACATTTATCAATTTGCTTTATATAGTAAGTTTGGAATTTTTCAATTTTGAAACTGTTTGTTCATTTGGTCACAGAATTGATATTTCTATTGTTTACTCTGAGGTGATGACAAGTAATTTAACGAAATTATTAAATTTCGTTATTACGGTGAGTGATGGTGTGAGCAAACATTTTTGTTGACATTCGCTCAAAAAAAAAAAAAAAAATCCTCCTGAGACACTTGACCGAATGTTTGATGCGACCAGCTGACGATAAAATTAATTCTTTGATGAAAAAATAATTAGATTTATTTTATTTCATGAGAGCTTCTTTTCTCAAAAGCGATTCATTTCCCTGGTAATAGTCATTTGCAAACATTAATTCATCCAGAGTGTAACGATAAATCACCAGAGCTAATTGTATCCTACTACTACTCTTTGCGAACCTTTCGCTTGAAACATCAACGAAAAGCACTAACCTGATATTATTCATCTGATATGAGCAAAAATTCAATAGTAATATATACGGAATAATCAAGCTATCCTAGCGCTACACGATCATCTGTATTTTACAATGACGAAATAGATATGCAAATGTCCAGTGGAAGACAACCTGTATTATATGTGGTTGACAAATGATGTTGTCGTAGTTCCATTTCATTTTTCACACTTTTAAAAATTGTTATAATTACTTTTAACCATCTAAAAATTTTTAAAGAAAACGTTTTCTGATACTGAAGTTATGACAGCATCAAAATGATTAGAATTTAAAACAAAATTTGGAAAAAAGAGCCTTTTACACCGGTTTCCATACAATGGATTTTTGAAAAATAGTGGTTTGGAAATAATTGTCTACAAAAACTTCTGCAGATTGTCAAAGTATTTTTGTGCAGTAAAGTTAACTTCGAAACCCTTTGGAGTAGAAAAAGTTTTTCTGAACTTGCCCACAAAAGAAATATTCGACCAAAAGGAAACAAGTTGCTTTGTTACTTGAAATTTTAAAATTAAAGTTCCGCTTAAAATTTTATTTCAAGATTTTTATCAAACTCCCAGTCTTTCTTTAGATAATTGATTTTTTTACATTTAATTTTCCTTTTTAAATTTTGAAAGTTTTCATTGCTATTTTTTTTCTCAATTTAAAATTCCAATCGTAATTTAAATATTTAAGAATTTCATATTTAAATAGCCAACCATTCCGATGTTTAACGATTTGTCAATTATACATATATATATATATATATATATATCTTGATCCTTAATTTGTCCACTTCAAAAATTCTAACGCACCAATAAGGTAAGTCTACTCGGACGAAGCAAAGTCTAACAACAATTATTCTTCTTGCCAGAAAATCGAACTGAACAATTTTTGGCGGTGTAAGAATGACATCCATTACAGAGTATGCTGGCATGTCAAGAAGTGAAACAAGTTGAAAAAACAATGTTTCACGTACTGATCTGCAGCAAACAAACCGCTGTTAGCATAGCGATGAATGTTATCCCTTGAATACCATATCTCTGTTAGAGAACTTGAAAGATCATTCGTTATTTTTGGCATCTAAGTGACGCTCAATTCTAATACTCCGATGATTTCAAGAAGCAAATGTGAACTCAAAGATTATCTGTAATGTTCTCACAAAAAAAACTGATTAAATTAATTGAACACAGTAGTAGGAGTGTCATAAATATGACTGAAATATCTGGTAAAAAATGACTTAATTATTGACCTCATTTTCTAAATAGATTTATTGAAATCCATTATTTTAAGCTACTATAAAAAAGGAACAAAAGCGTTGGTTCTTTCCTAAGGGAATCCGCTCATATGTACATATTATTAAGTAAAGTCGGTCATTATTGCGGTTCGATGACAAGACTGCGAGAGGTAATTGTAACAACAATAAGTACACTTGACAATAATGATACCGCACCACATGGTTAAACTGCGGCTTCTTCTGTATAATCATGTTCTTTTAGCATTTGTTTGATATATCCTTAAAACACTGATTTGGACTGCCTACAAACTACAGAAAAAGTTTTTTTTTTGAAGAGATTAGTCTGTAGAAGCTTAGGGCAGTCTGTAAAGGTGAAATTAGTTTATGAAATTTATGAGTGTTATCCTGAGCCAGAAAGCATAAGAAACAAGTACCTCGGCCCTAGCAGAAAGTAGCCCTTTTGTGATCAGAAATAAGATGTTCGAAAAACTTCATGAACTCTTACTTAGCAACATTCTTCCAGTTACATCCTGACAAATCTGATAAAAGCTCACACTTGAATTTCGTTGTTCTGGACTCCTTAAAATACCTTCGAAGAATAATGCGATAATGAAGACTGTATCAATCTATTATTATTATGCATATTAGCTGCTGCTCTGAAAAGGAAGAAAAAATTCATTTGACACTGACAAAAGATGAAATGGTTCTTCTCTTCATTAAAGTGAAGAGGTCATCAACCATAACTTCATTAAAGGCAGCAAAATTTGGAGCACTGTAGTTCAATTTATACTCAATATGCTGTACTGAGTTTTTCACAAACTGGAAAACTTTCCATGTCCGCACCGGTATGTGTTTCAGTACAGGAAGCCAAAAAGTAGCGGAGAGTGAACACAAATAACTTATGTGTATTAATCCTTTTTTTCCAGACACAATTCGAAAATGACTGTTTGTTTCACAGACAGATTTAATATTATGCCAAATAAAAATTCTGATAAAAGATTCGTTCTCATCAGTGTTAAATGTCTAACCACTATTAGCATCGTGGATTCAGCAAAATCAGTAGCCTACGTCTATCAATGTTTGGATGCAGCAGACGCTTGCTTGCATTTTTTTATTTTCACCTTAAAATATGTCGCATAATTAAAGAAATTTAATGTTTCAAATGTAAGAATTCAAGTTACTTTTTGAGTTCTATTTCGTTCATGTGATCTAATTCCCTGAAGCAAAAGTCTCATATTAGCTAACATCAATTAGAAGAGTAATATTCCAGGTTAGGAGTAACATGTGTATCTACTCAAAAGTAAATAAGTACAAAATACAAATCGTCGTTGTTTCTACCAGATTATTTTTAATGTTATCTTTCAGGAGAATTATAAATATTAAGCAAGCTGACTTATTTATGTAGGGAGCCAGTTACTGTACGATAATTGAGCTGCAAAATTTCGTAGGGAGCCAGTTTTTTCTTGCTACTGACTTTACCTTAATGCTATGATTACAGCAGACCTAAGTACTACCACGGCTAATATGATTGACTGCTCCTATAAATATAATGCGATAAATAGTAGTTGCTATTCGTTGATAGATGTCCGTGGTAAAAATGAAACTTATTTTAGGTTGAATTAGAGGTACAGCGATTTATTACAATTGGAAAGTTGAATAAAGTAAAAGTCAAATGTGCTGGTGATAAATACTATAAATCAGAGCCTTTCAACTTCCACTACTAACACTAACAACGAATCATATAGACTGCGTATCAAGCACTATAGTGACAAGGCCAGAAAATTACTGTTCATTAGGATTCACGAACTGAAACAATAAGCAAGTCTGCAATTTTCAATTGCTCAAACATGAATCTAAGTGCAATCAGGTTAATATATAAGAAAAACATCGTGAAGTGAACGAAACAGTAAACAGCTATTAGGAGAGAGAAAATATGAGGAAATCGTGCTGGTGGTGGAAAAAGCAAATTTGCCAAACACAACGTTAACGATGCCAAACAGCTTCCATGAACAACCAATTGCTAAAAATACATTTCACCAATTTCAAAATATATAAAAAGTGGCAACGAATTTAAGGACAGTTCAGTCACTACTGATATTTGGAAATCAGACAAAGCTCTGAAAGCCATAGCCTTTTGGAACAAAAGAACATTATTTCAAGCAAGCAGCAATTTCGTTTTTTTTTTTTCAATGAAATACCTTAAACACCGGAAGTTTTGAGAAAGACGAATATGTAGTAATATAATAAAAGATAAATAGCGCCAAATGAATAGCATTGCCATCTTTGATGCAAAGTGGATAGAGACTAAAATGGAAATACTTTGTAACCTGCCAATCAAATGCAAGAAAAACAAAAAAAAAAGTTCCATTTTCGAAAAAAAAGTCATATTCTTCATTGTAAAACAAGCCAACGACTGGCACCGCCAAGTGTGGGTGGAGTCGGATAGCAGAAATAATTATTAATTCAGCCGAAAATAAAATTTAAAAATTACGATATAATAAAGCTAAGAGGTAGGAGATACGAAATACAAAGGTTAGACTTCACCACCTCATGGCACTTTCTTTTGCAAAATGAAAACTAAGGTTTTCATGCCAACACAGTGCCAATTTTACTTCTCATCGTTAGCTAAAAACTACATCTGCAGCCAATAATAAAGCTCGTGAAATTTACCAAAAGATGGCTTCTTAGTGTTAAATTATGATACTTCGGAAAAGGCTGTAGAATTCAGTAAGGATAAGAAAATCAGCAAAAAATTCAATATAATAACCTTGTGTTTGAGATAATCAATATCCACGAAACAAACACAGGACTCTCATTCCACAATAATATAGCAGGCCTGTAACAAGATGTTATTAAAATAAATTGATTTAGACATTTTAGAGTAAGATGCAAAATATCACTGGAACTGAAAAAAATCCCGAAGGAACATACAATGCTGCAAGAAGAATTGATTTTTCATGAACTTGAAATGAAAACAAAAAGAAGGATAAGCTGGATGCCAGTAAGCCATATTTGAAATTGGTCACTGTTGGATAATAAAATAAACATAATAACCAGGGAATATTTGTCACAAGAACCATTATGGCACTAAAAATAAAAAATTTCATGGATCATCAAATCCATCAGTCGTAATATACACTCATGACCGCAAACAAAAAATCGATCGATTTATACTCAAAAAAGCAAAAATTTGAAAGTGGTACCTCATACGCAACAAAACCACTATTTTGAAATTATCCTTCAATTTGTACAGTACATTAACAGAACACCAGAAATTAGCCACTTTATCCTAAATAAATGTTACTTTATAATACTTCCAGTAATTTTAGCTTGAAACAAGAAAAAAAAGTTGAGTAAAGGAACATTACTTTTGTACCTCGAAAATACCACGGTAAAATGGGAAAGTCCGATGCAATATCTGTATCAAATTAGATTTGGTAACAAAAAAAGGAAGCAAAACGAATAGAATTGTAATGATGACAGTAATAAATAATATAAATAGCTGCTTTGCCCAATAACGATATCTGCAAAATAAAACTTGTCTTTTCCTAGTTTAATAAATAAAAATAAAGCCTGATACTCATATTTTCCTTTGTCGGCTATTGTATTAACAACATTAAACAAAAGAAAAGAAAAATAAAAAAAAAACCTACTGACTCGCGCTCAGTCGATTGTCACTCGGAAATGACTTTGATAGTAAATAAATGGCAATCGGTAAAGCATGATACAACTCCATTTGTTTGAAAAATAATGCCAGTATAAAAAATACTGAACCAATTTTTAAGAAACTTGAAACAAAGCAAGTAAATGAAAAGAGGAATAAGCCAAGCGATATGTGATTGTATCTAAAATCACAATTAGCTAAAATGTGACAAATGATTTCTTTTCGTTCAGTAAATAAACAAAACATAGCAAAAGTGCTACAGATTTATTTTTGCATGAGAAGAAAAACCGAACCTAAACATTTAATGCCAGAGAGCATTATGCAAACAAGGGAAAATGTGATGAAAAATTCCAAATAGAAAAATTAAAACTAACTGAAAATGCCCATTGTCTACGGCCAACAACCCTGGATAAAGCACAGCTATTGCACAATAATTAAGCTGCAAAATACAACTTTTTAATCTCGTGTCTTTTTTAAAGTTTGATTGGAAATTATTCAAAACTCCAACCATGAATATTACTCCTAAAAAGACAAGGAAGCACTATTCGCTTAAAAAAGTATTGAAAGAACAGCGACTATTCACTTCTAGAATTATAGAAAAGTGAAATTCAAAAGCTTACCATTCTATAAGATACAATCTTGCGGAAAAAACCGATTGAAAGTAACAAGGAAGAAACATAAACTATCCAATAAGTTACTATAACAGTAATTCGCATGAAGATTTTGTGAGACTCTGTCTCGATCCCTCTTGATATATGTAGCTCGACCCATGAACGATTCAACTTGTTCGCTCTGAAAAATTGTCATGTGAACTAAAACCTATACATAAAAAACAAAACGGAGAAGTGGATTCAATAAGAGCTTCTTTTCAAGTCATATAAATATTCCAGTATTATTCTAAAAAAAACAAATATGATGCATTTTATCACTTTTTTCTCTGAACTGACTAATTTTGTCTCAGTTTTATTAAAAAAGTCCCAACTGATTTTTTTGGAAAAGCTCTGCCTTCAACTTCAATCCGTAGAATCCTAATAATTACCGTTTATAGCAATACTGCGGCCTCATACTTGTGTAGAAAAATTTAGATCCACGCAGTTCAGTTTCCATCTAGTTATAACAACTGTACCTAAATTTTGCAGCAGTTGGAGGAAAAAAGCTGCAATTACGAATAGACTCACATAATTCCGAGAAGCCAACTGTGATAAGCCGTAAGAGGTGGATAATCCAATCCCCAGTAATTTAAATCATTATCACTACCATTTACATACCTATAAACGGAAAAATTAATTATATCTCGGCAGATTCCATATCCAAGCTTTGTATAAGCGGCAAAACTTTAATGAAAAATACTAGTATAAATGATCTGAAATCGTTAAGTAGATATATATCATCGAAAGAAACTTGAAGTATGCACATAAAAGCTCTTAGTTCGAAAAATTTAATTCAGCGAACAACCACAAAATGTTTGATGGCCTTTTAAAGCAACAAAAGTGGTCGATAAAAGGACACCGTTACCACTGATTAACAGGTAAATGATATGTGATTTCCATCCAGTGTCTTTGAGCCTCATAATCACCATACATTGGCGGGATAGCATGACCTAAAAGACGACTTCTTAGTACCAAAAGAAATCAAAAGAAATTAAAGAAACTACCAAAAGAAAATCTTTGACAGGAGGCCTGTCAAAGATCTCTTATCCACAACACAAAGTAGTAATATAAAATCTTCCTCTTTATTATTTAAAGTATAAATGAGCTTCTTTAGTCAAATGTAGTGTAACCGAATGCAAAATAATGCCAGAAAAGGATGGTGAAGAAGGCAAGACCAGTAAAATCTTTAAATTAATGAAGATGGCAGAAACGAACCGGAGTAAGATCCTAATGATAACGCAACCTGGACAGTGAAAAGGAAGCATATTAGGGCAAGGAATGCTGCCTGGTTTGTTGCACTGTTGACAACTCTTTCTTCGCTGCTACAATATCCCGTTCCTGCTCTCTTTACCTCAGATCTCGCGGTACTACTACAGACAGCTGAGGAGATCATCCTCCACGTTCCTGTTCGGTAATAATCTCTCAACACCGCAACTCGCACCTAAACTCGGCTCTGTTCTGTGTCGCCTTTTGAGTTCGCACTTGAGCTGCAATTTGCGTTCTTCTCTCTCCTCTCTCTTTTACATAATTATTACATGAATCTTATTAATCTTTGTTGTATCACTAATTTCTATACTATTTCTCCGTTGCTTATATTCGATAATTGTTAATCTCTAGAAATCTATTATTTCTCTCTGGTTCGATACATCAGTGCATACATTACACATTACACTTCAGTTCACACCATTTGATGAAATCCACCTGACAATCATTTATGCACAGAGATGCGAACTTCGCTCATCCATCATCTTTATTAAAGCCAACACTTAGAAGTCCTCGGAAGTCACAGAGATTCAACTAAATTGACAGGGAATACAATGTCATCAACTTCTGCTTTGTTTAATTTTCGCTATCTTTGCTGTGTCAGCAAGTGGTTTGTTAATGGCGTTAATTGAGTTGATTATCGCGACATATTTTAATCAGAATGCTGGGTGTAATTGTGTTTTGGATGGTGAATTAAATGCAGATCAAGGGCTGTCGTTTCTTGCAAAAGATTTCAAATAGATAAGGACAGCATTCTTTCCCGAGAGTTTTTATTCTTTCAATATGCAAGTTTTAATGTTTCACAAGCGAAAATATACCAAATTAGAAGAACGAGATATATATTACGGATTAATAGGTCAGTATTGTTTGTTCCAATTTGATTTGTTTCTGCAATTTATCAGTGCTCTTCTTCATTTGACGTAAACAGATCATCAAATCTTGCTTGAAGTTTATACCACAGCAACCTCGACACCTCAGCGATAGTACCCGTTCCAGATCTTCGTACACCACGTCAGAAAGGGTGACCAGCATTTCGCGCATTTCCAGCTCAAACAAATGGAAGTAACCAACTGAATGCCTCATATGGAGCAGGATATTTTCAAGATTCAATCTTTTCTTTGTTCGGTTACTCATTGGTTTTGTAGGATTGCAATTCAGAATTATTTTATTTTGAATAGCTCTGATTTCAAAATTTCAGACTAAGTCAATCCGAAAAGTAAAAATAGGAAATCTTAATTCGAGCAACTCATGCATATAATGACTCCATAATATCTAAGTGGAATTTTAGAAGCGTTTATTACAGCCATTCTTCTCTTCACGAGCTTTTTCAACTTTTCATCACTCATTTCACAATATGTTCTGTCAAACTTACTTAATTCACTTACATATTCGAGGGAAACGTAACTGGTCAGCTGTCATCCTTCTCTGTCCTATTACCACCTACAGCTTTTGATCTTCATCACTATCTGCTGCCAAACTCATAGTATTTAAGCTAGGAGAAACCTTGCACTTATTGAATTTCAGCAGCCAGTCCACTTTCGTTTCACTAATCCTTGCTGTATCAATGTTTGTTCGGATAAGTTTCTCTGATGCGGTCATTTCGATATCCAAGTTTACCAAAAACGGCAATACCTTGTCCTGAAATACAGTGGTTGCATTGCACTATTCATTGCATTGTATACTCATCTTTCCTTCATCTCAATCTCTGCAGGTATTTTCTTTATAAAGCTATATTCCATAGATTTCAAGACTTTTCATAAATTAAGATGAATCCTTTAAAAAAGATTAAAAACTGTAATTGAGAATAAGGATAATAACCTCTAATTCACAAAGCAAACTACGCGCATTTGTTGATTCAACACAAACATCCGCAGCAAAGTCCATGAGCAGATTAATAATGGTTCTTAGCTGCAATTGCTCCAACTGCACACAAAAAGTGAATATTGCAAAAATAAGTTTAAATCCTGTCGTTAGATTATTATTACTGTAGCAATAATAGCATGCCTGATAGACGCTTTGGGTTGGCGTTTTATAATTGCATTGCTCCAATCTTGGTTTTAGTTAAGGAGTTAAGACTCAATGAGGCGTTTTTCCTACAGAAAAAGAAGGAAAATCAAATAAATAATAAAAGGAAAAGATTAAGAGGAGGGATATAAGCCAGTACTACCCGTAGTATAGTCGCCTCCGTTCAGGTATGAAGACGTTTCTGAATGAAGTTATATTTTATTTCTGTCGTTTGTCTTCATTTTTCATCTTTTCTCTTTTTAATTACTTTCCCTTAACTTCGGTTATTTTTCAGAGTCTCACAGCAAATATTTGTTGCAGACGATATGTTCTTTAATTAGAAACTGGACTATAAAAATTAATGATCAAAAGTCAACCGCAATGAATAATTTTAGTCCACATAACAATATTCTGTTTAACGAAGCATGCCGATATAATGTCATACTGAAATTGATACAGACGACAGTACGTCATTCCCTATATCCACGTTACAATTTGGTGATGCACGTGCAAAAACATTGATATTACATTTAAACTTTAATTCTTTCTTCTATCAAAGAAATGCTAACTTGATCGCAAAGATGTATGCATATGGATGCCAAATGCTCCTTTTCAACGTTAGCACTGTCATGGATCTGCGAAACTTCTTTATCTGATGATCCAGATTTCGGCAAACATTTACTGCTTGGGCGACTCATTGTTGAGTAACATGTGAATGGAGAAGAGAGGATTTTTTGATTGTTCCCAACAACATTTCGGTCCATCGCATTGTCTGGAAAATCTAGTCATAAACTGACATTGGATTTTTTTAATATCAAGTTTTTTTTTTTTTTCAGAAAATATTCGATGAATAGTAATTTAAATCGACACAGAGATTATATTATTGAGTGGGAGCCTTTCCATTGTACCAAACTTATTTCTTGAAATTATATGAAATTTCAAGTCTACTCTACCAAAAAGTCTCACACACTATGTAATGAAATTACCGTTATTGAAGTTTTCATTTTAAGCTTTGCAGAAATAAATTAAGAGAAACATATAAAAGTAGCCGAAAAAATTAAGAAACAGTAGAATGAATAATGAACATAAATGAATGAAACGACTATACGAGCAGATAACCCATTTTGGAGAACATATTCTACGAGAGTCATCAATAGATGGTTGACAAAGTAGTGTGGCAAAGGAGATGTTATTACTGCAATTTATTTTGCCAAATTGGCGACGGAGGAAGTCATTACTCCGACAAATTGCACTGCCGAGAAGTAATATTCCGCAACTGATGCCATCAGGCAATTTAAAACAATAACTTGAAAGAGAAATTAATTTCGATCTCCAATCTCGAAAGACTAACTAATCGATTAAAAAAATTAATTCTAAAAAATAATTCTTTTTCAACAAATTAAACTCAGAAACTAAGTAATTTCGAATTATAAGTTGCAAGCAAACACAACAAGTGCTGGTGAAACAATATCCGTAATTTAATCCACAAATATAAGAATCCGACGGATATTGTTCAGAGATGCCCTACATTATCAGCAACACTGTCCCAGATTGACGGAGGAATACCACTTATTGTCTTCAACAGTCAGAAGTCCAAACATGTGCGACAAATAGTTAAAAACATTTAATTATTTAATCATTTAGAAATTTGTAGCTTTTGTAAATTTGTACCTTCGCTTCATTGGTCGGTATAATCCAATTCAAAACAAATCAAGGTGACATATATATGTGCGCGAATAAAGTATATATTAATATATTATTACGATACAAAACGAGACGAAAATGCTCAGTTTTCATACATATTAGTTACAATGTTATCGCTGTATTGAAATAATTTATAACAAATCACAAATAATAAATCTATTTTTTGTTTTACATCTTTGTTGCTTATACAACAAAAATCGTAAGAAAGAGGGTTTGTAAATGCATGAAATCGGGAAAACTCGTTGATGAGAGAATTGGGATGTTTTTGTAGTTGCTAAATGTTTCTAATGTCAACGGATATTTATCAAAATTTGCTAAAAGAATTTAACGAAATTCCTATAACAGAACTTTCTTTCTTTGATGGTATCATCTGGGGCACTCTATCCCATTACATGTCCGAATGCTATTTATGAGCCAGCAGAGAAAACCTTGTTTTTAATATCATGAAACTTTGAACGTTTTTAATTGCTCAAGGAAAGGGAGGAGTAATCTAGCAGTGAATTTTTAACATCGTATCATTTTAAAATTAGAATTAAACCAAAACTTTTCCGCAATCCGTTTTCTACCAGAGAATAAATCGCTGCTAAGAATTATGAAGGAAAGAAACAATTCGATCAATTTTTGCATTTTTACACATCAAAAGTAAGATACTAAATCCAGGAGTTACGTAAAATAGATTTCCAACAACGCACTCGTGTGATGCTGACATGCACGACTATGCGATTACCATTTCCTATTCGTTTGTTCCATCAAGGCAAAATACTCGGAAGAAACGGATTCATGGAATATTTTGAGAAACAGGCGCGATAAAACGGTTCCGAAATGAGACCTGTTCATCGACATAACTCAGCTTCATCTCTTTCTTATTTTTCTAAAGCTAAAATAAAGCTAAAATCTTCCTCTAAAGCTAAAATCTCGTCAAATAATTTAGAGTGCTACTAAGTCACACTGTAAGTCATAATTTATAATGGTGTGAATAGGATATTGAGTAAAATACTAAAAGTCGTAAAGTCCAATTCGAACAAGACATTGAGTAAAATAACTGAAAGTCATAAAGTCCAAGTCCAAAATATATTTCTAATACAATAATATATTTAAACAATAAATAATTCAACATGATCAACATGATCCAGGGATTTCAGTTAATAGAAGAGTGTTGCTGATATAACAGGCAGTAGCAAGCAAAGCAAGCTGCAAATCTTTATTCTGCTGGGATGAACATCAACAAAATTATCATACAATCTCTTTCATTATCTTCAACTTCACGTTTCAGCCAAGATTTGCTTAATTACCAGAATTGAACATTTAAAGGAACAATGTTTTTACTAATACCGCATTAAAAATACCGGGAATTCCAACTATAAATCAACTTTTATTAGTACTCAAACGTAATAATGCTTGGTATCCGTGATTTAAGAAATTAATGACATCAAAGGAGACAAGAATCACTATCACATAATCACACTCAATTATATAATTGGTATAAAGATCAACTCGTTCTGTTCCAATTTTACTTTTTAAAATCCCGCTTTGCAAACAATTGTTAGCATCAGTGAGTGAACATAAATGTACAAAGCACATTTATGTTAAGAGTTGAAGAAGACCGTTCAACTACAGCAGTTTTATTTAAAGCTCAAGATTTGTCAACTAACTAGAACGGAAGTGTACTTGATTCTTTTCTTTTTTTTACGATGCATATTCAGATCACATGGAAGTAAACTTGAAAATTTTCTTGCCACTAGATCGTTTGAGCATTTTTTACAAAAAAAGATCGGACAAAAATTTTCACCTAGCAATATTCTTCAAGTTATAGGAAGGACAGCGGTGTCCCGAGAGTTAGGCCATACAATTATGCTTCGTTCTAACAAAATATTGTCCTTCTATTTTAGTTGAAATCTACAAATTACCTCTTCGCAAACTGCATCTAATGACAATCGTTTTTGTTTGATAATCCACAAAAATAATAAAAAAAGCCGGCTTGAAATATAAATTTTTTTCTGATTTAAATTTATTTACAAGGTGAGAATCAAGAAAGATACAAGAACTTAAAGCAGATTTATAGAAGTCTGACGTAACAACAATGTGAAGTGTGAATGGTTGGTCAGATTCAGATCCAGCAAGAAGAAATTTTAATTCATAACCATGCACGGAACAACAAAATGAAATTATTCATTAAACTGAATGATTTGAAATGATGAAAGTACCATTAATAATATTGAGAACGTAAGGATATAAAACTTAGGGAAGCTTTTTAGACGACTTTCGCAGACTGCAATGAGAAATGTTAACATATAATGCTGAAAATATGAATCAGGACTGAAAGCCAAAAAACAGATCAGATTTGTCTCTCATCATTTGCAAGGTGTATAAGTATCAAGACCACAAATTATCAAATATTTTGGCCACTTCATTTTCCAGTTGTAAATTCATCTTTTGTATAAAACATTCCATAACAATGGAGTTAGTAATCAACACGCATGAGCATGAACTACCAGTAAACCCAATCTGTCTATATTTTCAGTCGCTGTTTATTATCGTTACTTCTTCCTGAATTTCATTTCATTCTTTCAAGCAACTAAATGATTCTTCCAAGAATTTCATTTTTTCACTTTTTCCTGAAAATATCCCTTGTGTTATTTAGCACTGTGCTCGATCTAGTGATCACATATCGGATTTATTATCAGATGAAATTGAGTGAATTTTAAATCAAAGTCTCGATATATCTGCTATGATTCTGCATCACTATGTAGTATTTCTTTTCTCTTATTTGTCTTCCGCCACTTTCTACCAAGTATTTACTCATGTACTTTTTCAACCTTGCTATTATTCTATTCTAAGAAATTAATTTTTGTATGGCATATCGTTTATATTCAATTTCACTCCACGTTAGCTTTCATTAGGATGAAATACAACCCGAAACAATGGCAACAGCAATACGCAAGAAAGGACCAAAAAAAGAGCTTATGTTTGATAAGTAAAAAAAAGAAATTTCTTCCATTCAGTTCATGCGCAATATTTCTTAGTAAAATGAGTGAAAGTGAGAAGTAATCATATGAAGAGAAGTAGAATTTAGTGGTGCAGTTGTCGTCAAGTAACTTCTCCTTATTTTTGGCCACAGACAGGTTGATACGGATGATTATTTGGATGACATATTGAAGGGCGGTATATAAAACGCTGACCATACAAAACAGCGAAGATCAAGGGGATGAATACCTACCTACAGAAGAAAGAAGAAGAGTAGGATGCTGTCTTCGATTGCCCCAATAAGTCACGACGTATTGACTATCCAAATACCGTGCTGCTGTTGCTGTTGTTGTTCTCCTCCTGCTCTTTCTTATTTCCTTGTTTTGATTTTCCAGATTACTACAATCAGTTGATAGGATCTTTTGGGTATAATTATGTGATATCAACGTTAAATCCTCCAAATGCAGTTCTTCCAGAAGATACCAGAAAATGATTCGATTAATAACGACGTTTAGACGACGTTCTGATTTTAATTCTACGATGTATAGTTTTCAATTTGTCTTGTTATATGGAATAGTGATAATAGCGATCTGTTCAGTTTTGCTGTCGAAAACATGGATTTCATTTGTTCCTTTGGTACGTTTATCAGTTTTAATGTAAATTAATGTGAGCAAGTAAATATATGTCATAAGCGAATAATACTCTTTGATATGTTAAAAATTTTAACATGACAATATTTCCAAAAAAATTTTATTTTTTAACAGTTTTTTTTTTAATTTTTAAATCAGAATATTTTGAAACGAATGAACAGTTCGCTTTTTTTCAGCCAATACCACCATCATTAGCATTACTGGCCGCAATATACATTTTTTACGATTTAAGTTGGAAACGGCGATTTCTTCCACCGGGGCCAGCTCCATGGCTATTTTTCGGCAATATTCTCCATTTCATGTTTTATAAATCCATAGATGATATGTTCCTTACATGGAAGCGGAAGTACGGTAAGGGTTTTCAAATTTTTATTCAGGTATTTGAAAAAAAAATTTTTTTAATTAAATGAGCTTCAATGATTACTTGGTTCCCGTTACGTGATTATTTGACTGTTACATTTTGCGAGTTACACGTTATCCACGAACCGGAAAAGATGTACTGTTTATGAGGGAAAAGTCAACAAATTACTTAAGAAGATGGAAATGATTCGATTATTCGTGCAAATTACATCAGGTTTTAAGTAATCCAAAACAATCTCAATTATACATCAGCCGGAGCTGCTCAATCTGACTGTCAGGTGGAAATCCTAAACAGTGAAAAAGTGGTGGACAGATGAACCTTCGGTTACAATCTGTTCTCTCTCGAATAGCTATCCTGCATTTCAGTAGTTTTTTCTCATTACTTCTCGAAAAATTTTGATTATGTCAATGCAACATAAATGTGACGTGATTACACGCATTTTCCGAGAGAGTCGTCTATGTAAAATAAATTGGTTGAAAAATATTTACTTGCAAAAGGAAGCATTTTACGATTTAGGTAACCTGGTCACATTTTGGATCGGACCGATACCTTTGGTAATGGTTACGGACGTGGAGACAATGCACGAATACTTTGTACGTAATGCTGAGATATTCAGTAATCGGTGGCGTAATTATGCAACTGACTTCTTTATGGGTACTCATAAAAAAAACTGTTTATAGCTTTTGTACTTCACTGTTTCATCTTATCTGTTAATTTTTTGCAATTTTTTACGACGCAGTTTTTTTTTTGAGTTCTCATCTGGGAGCCGAACGTAAATCCGAGCATAATCGAACAGACTGTCGGAAATGTACACAAGATTTATATTCGGCTTCCTATGCTCCCTTTCCCTCATGTCTATGTTACTAAATTTAATAGAACATCAAAATGTTCTGAATTTATTCATCACTCACCCAGTTTTATTTACATCATGCACGATGTTTTGTTTCGATCAACAAGTATAGGTGGCGCAAATGGTATAATTCAAATTGACGGTAATAAATGGAAACAGCAACGACGCTTTGTGCTTCGAGTATTACGTGATTTCGGAGTTGGTAGGATACTGATAGAACAGCAAATCATGAAGGAAGTTGAGTTTTTCATCGATTATCTAGAACCGAAATGTACCGGACAAGAGATGGATATATGTGCAATGCATGCCGTTTGTGTGGGCAATATCATCAATAATATATTGTTTGGTTATCGTTTTCCACAGGTAATAAAGCACTCTATTATTTGCTCATCTTTTTCTGCAGGTAATGAAGTATAAAGTATTGCTGCAGATTTGATGTTGAATATATGCTAAATGCGAAATGATCAATTTTATTCAGCCCCAATAATTAGATCTAAACTAACTAAAGATATTTTATCAGGGAAGTGTGGAATTCAGTTTTTTGCATTCGTTACTAGATTCCCAATCTCGACTGGTAATGCATCCCCTGATGGGATTATATATAACATTGCCGTTAACTACAAGGATACCATTCGTAAATTATAAATGGAAACAATTCAAGGGTCTTCGAGATAAACTATGGAAATTCCTTTCCAGAGAAGTGCAGGTGTAATTAATTGATATTGCTTATTGCATCTTTTGCTAGTTTTCACCAGTTTTACATGATCAGTTAATATTCATTTAATGATTCAGATACACATGAAAGCATTCAACTGCGAAGAATCTCCAGAAATCACAGATTTTACATACGCATATCTCTCAGAAATGAATCGTAGAAAAAAAGTCGGTGAGCCGAATGAATATTTCAGGTATTGAATTTAATATTTAGGCTTCTTTTAAAAATATGAACATTCAACTGAGTAATGCTTTTCTCCAAATAATTCCACTCTTCTTCCTACCACTGTTTAAATTTGCTTCTAAAAGCGTTGAAATTGACCCCATAAAGCAAATTATTTTAAACACATTTTAAACATTACTGATTTGTTTCACTGATTTGATTTGTTTACTTACTACTAATTTGTTCACCGTGTTTATTGTCGTAAATTAGTTCGCATGAACTGCTTAGTTGTAAACTTTTGAAACGTCTTTGTTCATTTATAACCTGGAAACTGAGCTGTTTGCATTTCTTAATTGCAGCGAATGGCAGTTAACGATGCTATTATTGGATCTGTTTTTTGCTGGAATGGAAACAACAGTGACAACATTAAAATGGGGATTCCTTCTTTCAGTAATTCATCCTGAGGTGCAAACAAAAGTTCAAAATGAATTGGATGACATTGGAAGTAGGATTACTCTTGCTGATAAACCAAAATGTTCATATACAATGGCTACCATTCATGTAAATTTTTTTTCTGCTCCTCTTTGCAACCATTCTGTTAGCCATACCGTAATACGTTTGCATAATTTGAGATGGTGGAAAGTATAAAATATTTGTAAAAAGAGTTCCAGCTAAAGGGGTGTGATTGTGTGACAAAAAAAATAAACGTAGTAAGAAGGCAAAGAAGTTGTTTAATTAACGAGCAAGACAGCTTTTATTTCGATATAACTGAAACATTAACGTACCCATCAAAGCTGCGTCAAGTCATTAGGAGGAACTATTGAACTCTTCTTCTGCATACTTTTCTCTGCAGGAAATCCAGCGTTTCGCTAATATTTTGCCCATCAATTTATTGCGAACCGTGGCGGAAGACTTTGTCATGGGGAAATATTATTATCCAGCTGGAACACTTTGTATCCCACAAATTTCCATAGCAATGAATGACCCCACAAATTTTGAAAAACCTAAAGAGTTTCGTCCGGAACGTTTTCTGGAAGATGATGGATTCACCCTTAAAAAGTAATGTCTATTCCCATCAAAAACTTAGAAGATTGGAGCACTTATTTAGTTTTTTGACTCTTATAATCGATTTTGCGAAATAATTATATATTGAAGTTCAATAACATACGAAGAACACTTTTGGCAGTAATAATGTAAGATATTTGATGTACCAGAATAGTTGAGGATGTTATTGAAGCATTCGCTAATGGATGTTATAAATGTCAAAGAACTTTGAAAAATGAAGTCTGCATGAAATGGTTAATTGTTTACTCACTTAATTTGATGACTAAATATTTTATTAATATTTAGATATGATGCGTTTTTTCCATTTTCCATCGGTAAACGACAATGCCTGGGTGAATCATTAGCGAAAGCCGAACTATTCCTTATTTATGCCAACTTGATGCGACATTTTCGTTTCCGGACCGTGCCAAACAAACCTAATCCCTCAACAAAACGACTCTTCGGTCTGACAACTTCGCCACCTCCATACAAATGTCTTGTGGAGAGAAGGATAGTTTAGTTGTTGATATTAGTTTATTCAAGGGAATAAAAATTAATAAGGTTTCAAAACAGAACTCTGTTAGAATCAAAAAAACAAAGTATATTCCAAATTATTTCAAGAAATTTACCTATTTATATTAAATTCATTCCTATAATGACAAGTCAAACTTCCAAAAAATTTCACTGTTTCAGCCGCCATAAAATGATTAAGTTGAATTGTTAAAAGGAATAAGACAACTAGAATGAGCTGATTTGTAAAATTTCACAAATTATTGTAGCCTTAATCAGCAGTTTATTTACTTGACAAATAATTAAATCTGTTTGTTCTACTCTTGCATCTCTGTTGTGTAGTTGCACAGTCTTGTGTTATGCATAAAGTTGTTTTTGAAGTTGTAACTATTGAATGTTGCATGAACTTATCATACTGAGCCGAAAAGATGATATACTTTGGTCAGAACTAATCTTTTCACGAGGAGTACTAGAGAAACAGAACTACATTCTTCTCCTCTCAGAACGTTATCGCTATTCTTCATTTCTCAAACACAACGAAAAAGTGTGTGCTTTTCAGATGAAAATTATTTCTTCGTACTTGATTCTACAGTGAAATTTACAACTCTAATTTAGAAAGAGTGCTCAAATGTCCATTAAAGGAAATTTAAGTAATAAAATAATATCTGAAAGAGGAAAAATGACAATGGCTTCTTCATTTCCCAATCCTCTTCAAGCGTCAAATGATGTAAAATGAGTGGCGGTGGACTTTTCAACGATTTCTTGCTAGTTAAAAAGGATCAGCTTTAATTACTCTCAACTTACTATAGTTCTTCAATATTCAGTGAAGTTTATCTAAATACCTTAAACCTGTCGTCAGGAAGTTTCAAGCAGCCAAAATGATACTGTCAATAGCTGGCTGGGTTAGTTCGCAAAAATGGATTGTTGCCAGCTTTAAGTACTATAATTGCGATGCAGTTGTGAAATAGGCTCAGTAGTCATACTAGAGCAGTTTTATATAACTTTAGTTTTATATTATAATAATAATAATAGTTCTATATAATAATAATTAGTTTTATATAATAAGAGCAGTTTTATATAATTTTTTATATAACTTTATACTAGAGCAGTTTATATAACTTTTATATAACTTGTCAACTCTGTCAACTATCTGATACCTGTCCAATCTCTTGCCTTATTTTGATGAGAGGCAGTTTTATGTCAACATATCTTGGATGGACTGTTTCCTTTTTATAGTTACTGTAAATACCAAATAACGAGGTTCCTCCTGCTTTCCTTTTTGAAAATATTTCTTTCTCACTTTAACTTTAAGAATATTCGTAATAAACTTGTGCATATCTTTAAATTAACCCTAGTTAAATCTATTCAACTACCTACTAAAGACTGTTAATCCTAACATGAAGTATGAGAAAACAGAAAGGAGGGGAAATTTTTTGCCTCATTCTTCAATTCTATCTTTGAGAAAGAAAATACGGAGAACTGAAAAAGCGTAATACTCAAATGTTTAAAATTAATTAACGATATATGTGGTATCTATAAAACTGTAAAGTCATTTATGTTCTCTTTCAATCAAATTTCCAAGCAAATCCAAAAGAAAAATTTAGGTACTGAATTTACATATGTGGCGAAGGTGTGTTGCATGTAAATGCATGTGCAATTCAGTGATGAACAAATTGCGCAATCCAGCGATCGATATAAGCATAAAGTTATAGATCTCTATTTTTATGATTTCTTCCTTGAGAAACTTCATTTGTCATGTACACTTTACTATTGTCTATATGATTCAGTCCAGTCATGCACTGATCGTTCTCTGGCCACGTGCCCAAATGTATTCGAAGGTACGTCATTCTCGTGACTGTTACCAAATTTTTCGCTGATTGAGTAATTTGATGCATACTTTACCCAGTAACATTCAAAGTTTTCCTGATCATTGCTGTGGTTGGTTATTGTGAATTAGGTCGAATTTGGAAATAAGTTGGAAAAACTGTGACAGTCCAGTGTCACGGAATGTGTGATAGTTCCGGTTTAGTGATATAGTGTCAGTGGCCATCTTCCTGAATGTTTTCACGAATTTTTCTAAGTTGTGAGTAATTTATTTGCTCATGACACATCTAACGTAACATAAAGTAGATCATCACTGTTGAATTTAACAATGTCATAAATTCTAAAAATCAGTGTATTGTTTTCTTAAGTAAACTCATACTATTATGCGAACTTAGCTCGTGTATTGCGTACATTTGTAATCGTTGTCGTAAAGAGTAAACTTTGTTATTATAAATAATATATATTTTTGTATTACTTCATTGTTGTAAATTTCTGACCCACTGCTGCTTGTAAAATTGATTCTTTTTAAGTTAGATATTCATACTGCGTGATAAACGAACTGATGAGCGTTCAACTGATTTGCTGTTCTATCAGTATCCTACCAACTCCGAAATCACGTAATACTCGAAGCACAAAG